ACTTCCCGGGGGTCCCCTAGACCTCAGGTGGGCCCCTGAAAACACCGGGTCACTTCAGGGAAAATCATGGCTACTGTCCTTAGACCAATCAGCCAAGCATCAAATTGGGATTCCCACTGTCCTTTAGGAGGGTGGTTAATAAATTAAAAAATTTTTTTTTCTTTTTATAAACTTTCTGCTTGCTTAGACAGCACATACACTAAAACTGGAATAGCACACAGAAGATTAACACGACCCTGCATAAAATGATATGCAAATTCACAACGTGGTCCATATTTTGGACAATGGTGATGGCGGCAGAACATGATCAGAATGGATGCTACTAAATGGCACATGTGGGAAGTGTTGAATGACACACGTTTTGTTATCTCGGTATTGACCGCAGTAACAAATATAAAACGTCCAAGCCTTCGTATTTGCAGAGCTACAGAACCTCCTCTGTAGTCGCCAGAAGAGATGTAAGCCTGTGGCGGTCCTGCTTTCGTGAGCGGACGCTGAAGTTCAGCACAGCTCTGGAAACGGAGGCGAGGCCCAGGGATCCCCGCTCGGCATCGGTGGCGATTTTATTTATCGAATGGTGTTAAGCACACAGGCCTGTTTGGTGTTTGTCAGCTTTCCTGAAAAAATCTTTTAGCAGGGTCAAGAATCCTTTCAGCATGTAAATAATTATGGTCCATTTCATCTAGCTCAAAGATTTGAATGTCCCTTAGTACATTCAGTTAAAATAGGCTATCTTGAAAGGCAAAACGCTTCAAACGATTTAAAAAGAAGAAAGACAAAACTCAGAGGCGTTTCTGAGGTGGCGGCATTCTTCCGCTAACGAAGGACCCACGTCCCAAGGCCTCAGGACGCAGTGCGAAAGCTCCGCCAAGGAGCGCTGCAAAGTCTGGGCGTCATCGCACGGCTTCCCTGCCTCATCTCCAACTGCTTCAGGCCGGTGTCACTGCACCACCACAGAACCCAAGCCCATCTCCCTGTCACGGAGTCGGTTCTGACTCATAGCACCCACAGGACAAGGCGGAACTGCCCCTGTGGGTTTCCCAGACGGTTCATCCTTTAAGGGCATAGAAAGCCTCATTGTTCCCTTGTGGAGCTGCTGGTGGTTTTGAACAGCTGATCTTGCGGTTAGCAGCCCCACACGTAGCCCACCCACTATACCATCAGGGCGTATCAGGAGTAGGTTCTGTGAGAAGGGGGTGCGGCAGAGGCATGAGGGACATTGTCCCAGCTCTACCAGGTGCTTTGGGTGGGTCACTGCCTCACACGCAAGTGACTGGCCACGAAATCCCTCAAGGCAGACGGCCAGAGCTTCCCCACAGGAAGTTAAGAGTTTTAGACGCGGGTCAGAAGAGGGCGAAAACCTTGGGATATGGGGATTGGGAGGCAGCTCTGAGGAGGCAGGATCTGTGCTGGCCTTCAGGTCCGGGCAAGACCACCCAGGCAGAGGCACGAGCTCCTTAGGTCTGGCGGTCTGGAGGCCCAGAGGCTCACGATCTCAGGGCACACGGGAGGATTACATGTGAAGGGCAGGGTGAGGGAGGAGGGGATAGGGGAAGGCATGGAGCCCGAGCTGTCTCTGGACTCATTATCCAGTCACAGGGGATGGAGGAAGGTGTCTGAGAAGGGGCATGACAGTTTCAGAACGAGGACGGAGAGAGCACAAGGCTGACACTCTAAGGGTGACTAGAAAGATAGGAGAAGGGCAATGGCAAAGTCAGCGCAGGCTTGCCTGCCCTGCAGTGGAGCTGCCAGGATTGAGAGCAGTTAGGGGGATGATGGCCCTGCGATTGGGCAGGACAAGCGGCACCATGGGCTCAGTGCCTTTGTCACTGTGTCTGACTGTCAAACCCGCCCTCCACCCCAACCACTACCACCATCACTGCCACCACACCTGGGTCCTAAGGAGTGGGAGGCAGGGTTGCTCCTGCGGATTAACCCTTGGTAGCCTCCCACCACCTAGCCCAGTGCATTTGTGGTTGCTATTGAGGCTTGTGTCTGCTCTGAGCACCCATGAAATTACAGAAAGCTCCCCCAGGCCCGGGAGGCAGCTAGACTATATCTAGATCACCTTGTGACAGGGCCAGCACTGTGCTGGTAAAAGCCTGGGGAGGTCCCAACCCAACACACACGTGAACACAAGCAGCTCCGGGTCTCTACGCCTACAGCGCCTGGCAACACTGACCCCGATTGTCCGGGGACGCTGATAACCAATTTTTATCAGACTTGCCATATTGCAAATACTCCGTTGGGCATTTGCACACACGGTTTCCTTTCATTCTTTGTATTTGAGCTGGCGACCCTTCCCCTTTTACAAATGAGAGATGGGGGTGTCTGTGTAGTGATTGACCCATATTCCCAAGCCAGCGAGCATTCTGACTCGGAAGTGTCTGTCTCCTGAGCCGCTTTCTGCTCTCCTCGACTCTGAGCTGTCCGGCCTCCTCTTGTGATTCCACCCGGTTCACGCTTCCCCATCTACATACGGCCTTTGCTCCTGCCTGTGCCTTGACCTAAAAACGGCTACACCACTTCTCTCTACCTGTTGAAATCCTCTCCCCTCTGCCCTCTGTGGTACAGAGTTCTCCAGCCTCCCCAGTTGGAGTCTACCTTCCACAATCTCCCCGATTGCCAGTGATAAATCCCAGCATGCCCTGTGGTATAATCCCCTTTCTTCCTCACCAACTAGAGCCGATGTTCCAGAGGGTAGGTTTTTGTTTTGTTTCTCATGTTTCCTGCCTCCCGAATGAGTGGCGAGAAAGTGCTTGTTGAACAAATGGAAAATGAAGAGGGGAAAGACTGCTGGCATCTGGGAGAAAAATGGCTCTGGATGAAGCAGCTTTAAGCACAGAGTGTCATCGGGAAAGATAAACCTGTGGCCTAACTCTGCCGTTCTCCCGCTCCGTCACAACACTCGGTCTTGCTCCCCAGTCCTCTGATTTCATAGTGCTTGAAACTTAAAACCAGGATGTCTAGGAAGGAAATTAAAATCATAAAATCACTTCCATACGAATCCTCTCAACGTAATGCAGTTGTTTCACACACTGGGGAGATGCTAATTGGAGTTCAAGTGGGGATGAGAGACGGGGCAAAAGAGCAAAGTTCACCGTCTAGCATGTCACAGTTCAGCTCTCTAGTGATGGCTGGGCTGTACCTGAAGCAGGATTCGCCCGCCCAAGGACAATGTGGACTTGACCCACGACAGGGCCTCTTCCATGCTACCGAAGCTAAATGCCCACCAGAGGATGTCTGATCGGGAGTGATTTCAAATCACCTTGGTTGGAAAGCACCCAGGGATTGAGACTAGAAACAAACACATACTGGCATCTACATCAGGACCCTGAAGGTCTTTTTTCTGCAAACAACCATTTTGAGGTTTTTACAAAAATAACCGACTCCCAAACAGACAGGCTTCCTGATCTATGAGCCACTTTGGAAACAAATCATTATGCCTTTGAATATTTTATGATGATCCAAAGCACTGGTTGAGGGAGGCCAGGCCAGCCCTCACCAATCCTTGCCCTGTCTATTTTGGGAAGCCCAGAGCATACTGTCGGGGTGCCTTTACTTTCTAATGGCTCCTGTGCTAGTGCTGGGTGGGCTCCTGGGGAAATACTGCCTCCACCCCAAACCGACCCCAAGTGCTGAGACCTGGAGAGCCAACTTTATAAAGCGCTTTAGAGCGACGACCACCCAGCGTGCACAGCCCCCCCC